CTCTCCTTAAACGCCAGTTTACCCTTTTATTGACAGCCACCCCGTGCCAGAACCATATAGCAGACCTCCTAGGTCCTATTCAGATGCTTTGGGATAACCCACAAGAGCACCTACTCGAGAAGAAGATGTTAGAAGATGTCCAAGCAATATTTACAACTCCCCATGACTTACGACGTCTTGACGACATATCACCTAGGGATGACCGCTACCTGATCGCGGGAAGCCCGGCTTTACTAGCAAAGCTGATCTGCAAATCCAGGGGATCCTCCGATGTTGACATCCAGGCGACTCGAAATTTTTTGAAGTACTACGAATCATTAGCGATTTTGCGAAGGGCGCCCAGTTCACGATTAAATGTCGATTGGGAGAGTACTAAACAAATTTCTTGTGAGTAGTGCCTATATGGCTCTTCTTCCAACATGATAGGAGCCCTTTCACTTGGATATGAAGTCATCTACTCTTGGAGCATCGCTGAAGGCCTATGCATTGTTGATTTGTTAAGTAATGATTGCTAACTGCTAATTCTATAGTGGAAGGATTACTACCTACCGTTGATAACTACACAGTCAACATCCAACGCGACGAAGCTATAGAGAAGGAATACCAGGGAATACATATAAATTTACTTATTGACTACCTAAAAACAGTCAGCAACTGGAGGAAAACTAGGAAAGATGCAGAAGTGAAGTCTGTACTCTCTTTGCACCGTCTATTCCAGCTCGCTGCCGCTTCTCTTGACGTGTATCGGCTTGATAAGCTCTTTACATTGAACGGATTTGGCACGTACTCCCAAGACGTCTATGCCATGCGCAAAGCAAATGTTAACTTCAGGCACCTCGCTCCATTTCTCCGTCGGAGTCATGAACCAAAACCCAAAGTAGCACTGGATTATATCAAGTTGGCGGTGCGCAAGTCGCCCATTTTGCGATACATCCTCCATTACATCAAGGAGAACCTCTTAGATAGGGGCCCGAACGGCAAGATCAAGAAGCTTTTGATTACCGAAGCAAGCCCTATGCTGGCATATTACTATGAGCTTGTGCTCCAGTTCCTTCTCATCCATTGCCGCACCCTCCATGCTGGTCTATCATCTGAGGAACGCAGAGAGCTCATCGCCGATTTCAATGATGACTCAGATCATTCATGCCAGGTTCTGATACAGATGTACACCGTTGGCTTCGCGGGGTCAAACCTGCATAAGAGTTGTTCACAGGTCATAGTCGCGTCGCAGGCTTTTAGTCTTTCAGTCCAGTCCCAAGCTGTACACCGGGTTATTCGAGTGAGTACCTATTGATCACTGAAATTATTTTGATATATTTTAGCCGCTGACGAATACAAGGTCGGTCAAGAATCCGACGTAAAGGTACACAGGTTGAAGGTCAACAATTCATTCCATTCATTCCGCGAGAGCCGACAGGTCGAGAAGATTCTTCCTGAGCTAGGAACTCGAGCACAGGGTGCAATGAACGACGTCTTAGTACAGGTGCTTAACCTCTTCCAATCCGAGATCGACGAAGTGTGGAAGACTCCAGAGGCTCAGAAGCTTATAGCGGACAAAAACTTGATCTCTAATCATATGGCAAATAACGAAGAGCCGGACTCTAAGAGGATCAAACTGGAGGATGGAAGCGCTGTGCAGACTGAAGCGACCCAGGGGAATTTCATTGTGCGCATTAAACTGCCGTCTAGGAGAAAGCGCAAGAGAGATGAGCATGATGTCTCGACTACCGATCTATTTAAGGGACGACGGGGGGATTTTCTTGCTCTCAAGTCTCGCTCTGACTATTACCAAGAATTCAAAGGATTTCCCACGGAGGTGAGGGGCTACTTCTGTCACAAGAAGAACAATCTTCGCAGGATGCTATCTTACGGCAGCGAAGGCAATAATGCGACTACACGCGTATGGGGGGTTGAGGATCTTAATGACTCTCCTGTGCTCGAAAGGGCCATGGAACTTATACTACGCATTCGACTCGGGGCGAACAACATTGAGATGCTACCTCTGCCGCAAATCGACTTCTCACTGGCCTCTCCGACAAAGCTAAAGGTGCTCGGGGGCCTACTAAGCGAAGCTGAGGTCATAGAACAGGATATCCAAGCCGTACAAGACGCGGACGCAAAGAAGTCGAAGAAAGACAAGGGCTTAGCCGTTCTAAAAGTAGTGGACGACAGGATGCCCATGCACGAACTTGAGCAGATTCTCAAGGACAACGCTTTTGGCACCAAACATGTCAAAAACACCCAGGACGCTCCTATGGCGCCTAGAACGACGAACGAGGACTCAGAGGTAGAGGAAGAGGATGGCGACGAGAAAGAGGATTCTACCCAGGATGAATTATCTCGGCTTAGGAACTTCTATTCTGACGACGATGATAAGGACGACTTGTGGAAACGACTTGGAGCTGCGCCCGGTAGTAGCAAGGCCAACATCACAGTAGAAGACTCGGGTGAGGTTACATTTCTGGACTCCCGGCCAGTCCGCGAGGCTAAGGACTCATCTCATAACCACACTGCCCTCGCAGACAACGAACCCACCAGGACTAAGATCAAGCAGGAAGATTCAGCCGAAAACATGATGGCCTTTCCAGATAATGGCGTGTCTAGGTGCAAAATCAAGGAGGAGAGCCCTGAGAGAGGCCGTAAGTGATCTGGCCAGACCGTCCGACAGCCTCACTACCAATACTCACGAACCGATCGTGATCGAGGTCAGCGACGACGACTAGGTTCGTCCCGCCTACCGTCGTATCATAGGATACACACACGTTCGGCCGTCAACTACATATCTCATGCCAGGATCATCTTGACAGGCCCACATGATGGCTATTCCCCCGGTTGGCTGAAGAACTAACTAGTGCATGTCCTGAACCTTGCGCCGCGCTGCCCCGGGCAAGGGCAACAAGGGAGGCTAGATTTACATAGCTGCTTGACTGCTTGAGTGCTGGTATGTGGTTTAGCTCCAAGGGATGATATGAGGAGTTCATCATGGCTTGGATGTAACTTCCAGTATGGTTGCGGGTATGTAGTATACATAACTAACCTACCTACCTACCTAGACAAATAAGGAGAGTCTACCTAGCCAGGGGAATCGAAGAATCTCTAACTATATCTATCTAGTTCGCTCCTTAGACCTGGTATACTAACCATACATACCTACCCTAGATGCGTAACTATCGCACCTAACTGCCGCGTAGGGTAGCAGTCTGCGTCCGGCAAAGAATACATACCGTAGCCGGTAACCTGATCCTAGGGATAGTCTAGAGGATAAGTCTAGAGGATAGAGAATAGTCTAGACGTCAAAAAAGGCCATCGGACCGATCACCACGTTAGATGCATACAGGGTTATACATTAGTTAGGTGGTAGGTATGTAGGTAGGTATGTATTATACATAACACCTAGCAAAGCAAACATATCCGTCTCGTGCTTGAGGACTTACATAGGTACTTGCCAAGCATCAAGCATGCGATAGGGGTACTTTGACCAGACTTTCCAAGCCCGCTCGGACGTCTTTAATTTAGGTACTTGAGATTATGTATGGAATACATATCTACCTAGCTATGTATAAGTCTTAAACACTAGTATACATAGTGCAATATAGCACCACCAATAAGAATCCCGCGATAGGTTTCTTATAATACCTAGCATCATGATTGGCAGAACAAGCAAATCAAGACAAAACCAAGATTTCCTTTTCGGGTTTTTTTTTTACTTTTTCGACCGTGTTTGCTTCGCACCATGACATAAAATGCGATGCAGATATATGAAGAAGAATGAATTTTATTTCGGGCACAGTATATCCGACATTGAGACGACAACTGTATGCAAGGGACTTATAAGATATGAGGCCATTTTGGCTCGTCGGAGGGTTTTTTCTTTCGCTCCTAAACTCCCCATTGGAGCGGAAGTTTAGCTTGTACGTATTCGCCATGTAGGCTCATAATTCCAATGTTGCGGTAAATGCGACGTCCTGTGATCCGTACCAAGGTTCGACGTATAAATAGTATGTACATAGGTATGTACAGAAAAATACCGCCCCGAACGTGTGGAACCAAAGATTGCGATAAGGCCGGCGGGGGGGGCGGGGGGGGCTATGTATAGTGTATATTAATATAGATTTATAGATTACGTATATGCTAATGTTAATGTTAATTGTTAATTTGCACAGTTACGGTTACAAGCAGGTAAATACATAGGTACAATACCTACGTTGGGCATATGTATGGCTTTAAGACAGACCAACCCGTCACATCACATGTTCTGCTCTGCATGTGTGTGATGTTTTAAGGGGACTTGATTTAAATATACATATGTACATGAGCCATGTGGCTTCTACCTGAGGTATTACGTACCTAACGTTAGGTTAGGTTAGCAGGTTAGGCACCTGAGACAGGTAGGTAGGTATGTAGGTACATTACCTCTTGCACCTAGGTATACAGGTAGTGTATACATTAGGTACGTAAACCTCCGGCGTATGTAATTCGGAAGTAATAATAACAACAGCGGGCCGGGGGCGGAGATAGGTATGTATGTAGGTACATACATACGTCACGCTAGAAACAAAATACAGCCTTAGGCACAAGTAGGATAATTGATGTATGTACTGTACAAAGCAAGCAGGCAGTAGGTAGTGTAGTGTATGTAGGTAGTTAATAAAAAGCCCCCCCTGAACCAAACTCCGAACCCGAAAAACTTGGGTTCGCGTACCTAAGCTGCGCAACTTGTGGTATGGGCTCCGGAGTTGGCGGGGCCCGGACCAGAGTTTCGCTGGGAAGAACATGGCGCCAGTCTTCTTTGGGGTAGCTCAAAAGCTACCCCGCTCTTTTTTTCAGCCTTAACTTTTCGGTACCCTCCAGACGCGGTATCCACCCTGCATGCAACGCCGATCGGCCGCCTTGGCCGGGGTGTCAAACACAGGTAGGTTAGGTTAGGTACTCGGTAATGTTTCGTTTTGTTGTACCGAGCAGTAGAGTAGTAGAGTACCTACCTAGTACATAGTAGTAGTCAGCAATTGGCAACTTCCGACGAACATTACATACCTTATCGTCGTCATCATTCATCATCCATTATCCACCATTCACCATCCATCATTTACCACAAGTTGCCAAAAACACCATCCTGTATAGTTACATGATAGGTTACTTTACTTTACTTACTAGACTAGGGTCTGTCGCGAGGATGAGGTACCTAACCACCTAGCTAACCTAGTAATTTAATTATTTACCTTAACTTACCTAAGGTACAATACCTAGACTCTAGTTGGTTAATAATCCATTTAGAGCGCAACCACAACATACACATACTTACATACAACATACATACAACATACTTACATACATACATAGTTACTTACTTACGTACATACAATACATACAATACACACCTACATACAGAACAACGTCTAGAACATGGCTTCGGCCCCGGCGTCTTCTCCGTCCCCGTCTGCCATCCCACAAACCCTCTGGGATCTGCAGGTTCCAGTTCTTGTGACCCATACGAGCGCGCCTAATGCGCCCTTTGTCGCATCGGTGCCGCGCTTCAGCTACCTAGCCCTGCTGCTGCCGCGCCTGTCCGTCTACTTCGGCTTGCCGTGCTCGAGTTTCCATCATGAAGACGTACTACTCCGCAATCTTGCCGTCGGCCTGCTCGTCGACCTGTACCAGCCTACCTTGCCGTGGCGTCTCACCGTTGCCGACGGCCTAAGCTGGGATATTGGAGATACTTTTCTAAATAGCGCCAAAGAGGCAAGTTCTTGTTTTCCGTATTCGCCTTCATTATCCCCTCCGCCCTTCCCTCCCCCTTCCCTCCAGGGGCCCTGTCTGGCTTCGTTCGCGGAGACGGACATTCTTTTATAAGCGCTAGAAGACGCAAAACAATAGACGGATAGAACTAGACAAGGATACCTAAAAAGCTAATTAGAACCAGGCTGATTTTATACGCAACGGCAATGCGCACCAGATCATGTCGCTATCAAAAGACCACACCACCGCCTTATGGAACGCGGTGCAAGACAGTAAGGCTGTGATAACGCCCCACAGGAGCGCAGCTGACTTGTACGGCACCAGATGACTACGCGTCCTTCGCCAAAGTCAACGCACGCCTCCTCAACACCTCGCGCGGTCTGCGTAACGTGCCTATTCGCCTGTACATCCCACAGTCCCCTGACGACCCGGCTGCCGACAGCCAAGCTGGGTCGTTCAAAGTCGTGCAGTCACTCGTACAGCCGCGTGTCAGCGAGCGTATGTCCCTCTTTACCCCTATTCAGTCCCCCCCCCCCCCCCCTTTTTTTTTTTTCTCTCTCTTTCTCTCTCTACCCTTCCTACTCGCAACCATACCTAACTCGCAACCATACCTAACTCGCACCAGGCCACCCCCGGACCCTCGGCGCTGCTCTCCGTAGCCTGCTACCGAGCCTGTTTCCCAGCAGCCGGGACCCTGTGCTCGCGGACGCGGTCCTACACGGTGCCCGCGTGCCCTTCGGGGCTCCGCTCGAGGAGCTCATGCGCGAGGCGGCGTATCCAGATGGGTGGCTGTGCCTTGTCGTTAAGCCGTTGGACGTGTAGCGACGTCTTCTAGCAAACTATAGGCAGCTAGCTGAGTGGCCGCCTAGGCGTGCCGACGTAGCGTATGTGTACGTGCTTTTTTCGGTTATAGGGAGGTTTAGACGGTTTGCTACATATGTAAGGGGTAGGGCGCACCGGGTTGGAGGCACATCGCTACGATACCTTAGGTATTTGGAATCACCGGGATGAACTACGTAGCACGAGCGGCACGGCTACGTTCCTGAGTAAGGCTATATAGCATGGCGTTATACTTATCGGTTTGTTCTTACTTATAATTTACTCATTTATCGATACTTCCCACTACCTACCTAAGACATTACTTACTAAGGACATGTATCTTCATGGCTCGTAACTTATAACTAACTACCTCACTATAATGACATACATATGGTGGCGTATATCACCGTTGACACCGGCACACTTAATCAAAGCCACTGCCATCATACCCCCTACCCCTATCCAGCTAGTCAGTCCATCAAACAACCAGCCAGGTATTTATTTACCTACCTGATAATCCATCAAACGGCCGCGTTTCTCGCCGCCGTTATATTATCACCGCGTCCCACGTCCCACGAAATCAACCACATCAGCACAGCACATCCATGCATCCGGCGCAAGGAGGACACACACAAAAGATAGGTGCCTATGCAAACGGTAGCAAGTACACGACTCACTTATATCTTCCCGTACGTAGGATAGGTAGGTAGGTACTTACGCGCATAAGTTCTGCTGCTCCCTCTTCCGGACGATAGCCGTTGGTAGTGCTTTGCTGTGCTTTGCTGGTAAGTAAGTAGTTGGGGTGCACAGGACGTTCTCGGCATACATATATCATCATATAGTTAGTTATAGTTATACATATTATACATACCCAGGTACATACCTAATCTATACATAATACAATACAGTATAGGACCTTGCTTATACATCTCGAGGGATGCATGGTGTATACCTACCTACCTATCTTATGCCTATCTACCTTATGCCTACCTACCTACCCACCTGACAACTTACCTATTCCAATTCCAAGTATACACGAGCACACATCATAAACGACAGACTCCCCTCCCCTTCCCTTCCCTCCCCTCCCTCCCCCAACCCGTCGTCGGAATATCCCGTCCAGCCCGTCCCACCCCCCCCCCCCTCTCCACATACTCCGTTTCGCAGACGCGAAAACCGATCGCGCACGTCCCTACCCTGCCATTGGAACAAACTTACCTACCTAACCTACCTCTGTATCTGCCATACCTACATCCGGGCACCTATCAAATACACTACCTACCTACCTATCTACCTAGGCACGTACGTAACCAGCTACCTACCTACCTATGTATGCATATGCCAGGAATCCCCCTAAATGCACCCCATCCCAACAATCCCAATCCCAATCCCATATATCTTGCTTGACCGCACGGATCGCGAAGTTAGGGGGTGTGGTTTGCCTGCCTGCCCGCCTGGCCCGCCTGTCTGTGTGTCTGTCTGTTTGTCAGTACGACCCGATGCCACGCCCATGCTATGCTTCTTGCGGCGCATTACACCCCGGCCGCACATCAAATCTTCATATATGTATAAATAAATATAGCGAGTAGCAGCACCTGGAGCTGGCTCCAGACGCTCGGGTAGAGTTACACCAGAGTCCGGTGACAGACCAAGTCACAAATCACCTTCGATCCGACAAATCTTCAATGCGCGCAATTCTTTTTCTTTTCCCCCTTTTGGCGGCGCCAATGTTATATAGCCTATCTCGCTGCTTAATAAGTACTTAGGATAGGTTTTTATGTATGCCGAGGTTTATGTATGCCGAGGGACATCTCCGACGCCCCTTATTCCCCTAGCCGCCTATTCCCTCTCCCCTTTCCCCCCAACGACTTGCTATTACGCACAAAAAGAACGTGTAACCAAAACTCGGACGCAAATGCAACGGCTTGGGGGAAAAAAAAATAATAGCAAATCCAAAATAGTATATGTTGCACCTATATGTACACATTCGAACGCATGATGCCTTTATATTGTACTGGTGTGCCCGGTCAAACCCGAGCAATCCATGTTAACTTGTTGAATCCTGAATAAAACAAAGCCAATGTGGTATCTCCTCCGCCCCCTCCGGGAGAAGTAGGCCAATGCAAAAAAGCGATCCCGTTTATCCTGCTGTCCGTATTAACGGAAGAGACAGAGACCAAGACGTGCTGGCCGCTCCAGCTGCCGACTGGTAATAAATTCACTCGACAAATGACGAGAAAAGGGGTAACAATACATATACATCCAGTCCGAAAGGGAAGGATAACCTAAATGCCATAGACCGAACGGCCTTTTACCGCAGAGTGCCTCTTCTCCCGGTAGGTACTAAGGGCGGGTGTCGCATGTAAACGCCGCACTATGCTATATTCTCAAACCTCCACGTCCTCGGGCTGTTTCTATCAGCAAAATGTAGAGAATAATGTCGAGGAGACAACCAAAAATTCTGTACTAAGCCAAAGATTCAAATTCAAAAAGTATATACTTGTCGCCGTTGATATATAAATATATGTGCAAAGCACGACCAGATGCGCTCTCGCAAGGGGTATCCTCAGCTTTCGAGTTCCGTAAATTTTTTTTCCACACGGGATCTTCCAATGCTGTCTCGATAAAAACGCCGGTATTGTATGCTCCAGTGGGCTGGTGCCACGAATGATGACGAAATGGAAATGAAAATTTGCCGGAGACCATTCACAATTGTGTTTCTGTAGTGCGTAAAAATTGGTACCGTAGAGCCAAACACGGTGCCCACATAGGACAACCCAAAACGCCGTTGCCAGGTGCAAAACCGCCAAAACTAAATTATCCTCTTCATATCTGCCATATAGGCGCCCCATGCAAATCATGTAAGTGATAGCTCGTGCTCCAAAACTAGTATCGAAAATGTAGCCGTCGGAATCCGAACAGAAGTAGGTCCTATGACCTGTTGAGACGACTTCTCCGAGACGGAAGAGCCCATAACACCATAACATCACTAGTCGATGTCGTTGACACATTCCATTTTTGTACAGTCCACCAAACCAAGTTACTCAAGGGATCTAATGCGACGGTGGCGGTAAGTGTGAAGGCCGTCCTAGCGCGGATGATGGAGGAACATGATAGTCGCTGGGATTATGTATAGGAGGAGGACCTCCGCTTGAAAGGCTCGAAAAGCTCGAGCTTGTAACCTCGTATTCATCCCGAATAAACCCTAGGTCTTTAGCCAGGCCGATCAAGATGTTCATATCAGCCCTTAGCGCGCTCGTGGGTTGGGCAATCGATTGGAAGAAGGAGATCGTCCGAGAGAAGAGGTTGCTTAGTGTTTCCGCATCGATGAACTTGTGTAGATATCTATCTCTGTAACACGCCGCCAGGGTTAGAAGATTTCCCCATTGACTGGGAATATGTTAGCGGTTAGTGATATTTTCTATGTCAATTAATTGAACTTACGCATGAGCTGTTCCGAATACGTTGGTGATAATGATGCGCTGACTACTAGGTATTCCATGGAATGCTCGCGTGCTCTCGACGAGGGCATAGATTGCTAAGCCGGCATATTTGACGATCCTAGTGTCTACACCCTGGGGGACTTCTGCATATTCGGGAGTCTGCTGAGCATCTGGAGACCCCGCTTGGTTATGATACGGCCACGGTTCTCGTTCAAGGATGGCCCTTAGAAAAGGTCGGTAGAGAATAACTTGTGAACCCCAGTACTTTGCACGAAGACGGGCTCCCAGTATGTCGTTCGCCGGAGGGTCATTATCATCCCATCGGTAGCTGTTTGGCACCCAACGGTTCCTCGAGTTCCTAAGCATCTCCTCGATCCGCTTAATACCTTCTTCGATCGCAGGGTCGTCCAACGTAATTCCGTTCTTGTGCTTATTCTGCTTGTCCGAATCGTAGAGCAGGGTATGCACTTGGTTAAGTTGTTTCCGAAGATACAACTGTGCAATGTAACCCGTTACTATGTGCTCTGAGAAACCTTGATTGACAGCATACTCCGAGTTTGGATATGGCATCCTATCTTCATATTGCAAGATACCCGACTGAGGAAGAGGTAGCTCGGCGAGGATGTCACTATCATCCTGAGTGTTAGCGTATAATAAGATAGAAGTACCACTTGACAATATTACCTTTCTAATTGCAGGCATGTCCAGAAGGCAAATGCCAGCTGGTTGTCTCTGCGTGACTGTCCAATGCTTCTACCTTGGTCGTGCCATTTCGATAAGCGGTCGAGGCTCCTAATCCGTTCTTGTTAGTTACCCCTGCCATTCATAAAGTATCTCCCCCAATCATAGTCTCTTCCACTTACGGTCGGAGTATGACTTGCAGATTTCGACTTGCAAGGGAAATGTATGACCAGCTCTCAAGTACGCGACCAAGTTGACCGTAATAAAGCCCTGCCAAAATATGTACGTAGACGTGTTTTAAATTGAATCCTCCCATGTGGCTACCCATAATATCCATCGCAAGAGCAAAATACTCAAGGCCAGGTATCACATCTAGATTCCGCCTGTGTGAATGTGGTCCCTTCGAAGCCGACGTATTTCCTTGTAGGGAGGGCCTTCGGCTCATGGGAATCCTCTCGCTCTCCTTAGGAGATGCCATATTAGATTGGGACTGAGATACAAACCCCGGGGGGGATCCTTGTAAAGGTGATGCTAGAACGCCGTTGCGAACGGAAGGTGAATGGTGCATTGGCGAGTCCGACTCGTGAACCGGATCTGGTATCCTGTCCTTGTGCAAGCAAATCTTGCCCAGAGCGAAAACCATTAGGACAAGAGCACTGTGGACGCTTCGGAAAGGTCGGCCGGGCTTCACGAACGACGTCGACGGGGTTTGCTCGTCCGCAGCGGGTGATCGCTTCCTCTTCGTCCCCGCTTCAGAAAAAGACGGAGGTATTGCGCTCGGCTGGTTGACGAATCTCGCACTCGCGCCGAGCTTGCTGTTCTGGTAACTTTGCGACTTTGGTAAAGACTCGAGAAATATTTTAACCATTGCGGTAAGCTCCCTCGGAATGATTATGGGATGCATATTAAGAATATTGTCCTTGAAACTGTTCACGTATCTCCATATCTTAGTCGACTCCCACTCTGGATTTCCGTCAACATTAACAACACCTCCCCTAGACTCGACACCGGGAGGAGGGGTTAGACTGCCCACTTGGCCCCATGCTTCTCCCATTGGCGAAGGGGACGCAACATCGGAACAGTCGTCTAACACATCAGTCATTGTATGGTCCGGTGGCGTTTCTTTGTCGGAAACTCGAATGTCTTGATCGAACCCCTCGCCTCTCCCAAAAACGCGAAGTATACCACGCTGCTGTTCCTGGCGGATTGGGTATTCGTCTGGATGAGATATTTTCTCAGCCTCCATCAGATGATGAACCATTCTCTTGATTGACGGCCACTTTAAAAGTAAACCAGCTAACGTGGTGTGATTTGGGGGCATGGCAGGCTTTCCAGGTGTTACGACCGGCCCCGGATTAGCTTCCATGTCGTCGTCTTCTGTCGCTTGCAGCGTAAGTTGAGCCTCTTCCATAGTTAGACTGGGTTCTACAACAGTTCCTCCTGGCGATGACAATGTTTCCTCGGGGTGTGCTTTACTAGGCGTAGGGGAGGGAGAACTATGAAACTCTGCGCGCTCTTCTTCCTCGATCGACTCGACTTTCAGATCAGTCTCGGGATCAAGCTGCCTGATTTTCGTTTCTAAATTAGCCACCCGTTGATTCTGACTCAGGTTGGCCTGTGTCAATCCAGCAAGTTGGCTGTTAATATTCGTAAGCTTGTTATTTATTTCCTCTCTCATCGAGGCCAGCATCTCTATTAAGTCCGCGGTAACCTTATCCGGCCTACAAAATAGTAAGTACCTCGTCCGCTGTCTACTATATATATGCTTAGGTAACTTACTGTTTTGCAGGGGGATCTCGATATTTACAGTCGATATTTTTCTCCCGGCAATTTTTACAAGGTTTAGTCTCGTCGCATTTAGCTTTGAGCTGCCTACAACTATCGCAAGCCTAACACGCATCCCACGTTAGTTGGTATGCAGCAACTCGCTTAGGGAATACTACCTGTGAGGCACGCTGAGCTTTCCGCTTAGCGCTAGTCGCGATTTCTAAAGGGTACATAGAAGCTGGTGGGCCGTAGACATGAGGACTGTCGTATTGAGGATGCTGGCCGACTGGCGTCGGTGGAGGAGGGTGGTAGTTTTGCGGTGGTGGCCTATACATGGCTGGTGAATGCGGCATCGAGGGACCACTATCGTAGCTCAGATGCCGTCGCGGGTCGTCTTGAGGATTCGGATGCGGAGGACCATGAGGGCCAGGTGGGAGATTATCTGTAACGTTGCCGGTCGAGTTCGGTCGGCGCAGCTGAGGGAGAGAGTTATCCTCGCCAGGATCTCGCTTCACGACCGGTTCCCGCGGTCCGTACGGCGGAAAAGACGGATGCGCTGACGAGGGAGGCGGAGGAGGCTGTCTGTGAGGGTCATGCATTGGCGGATATGGCTCATGTTCATGATGGCGACGGTCGTCAAGGTGGTGATGAGCCGGTGGTAAAGAGGGCTCTGGAGGTCGCGAGAAGGGAGGCGGGTGTTGATATGGCGGCGGCGCAGGATGGTGAGGGCCTGGTGCTGACGGGTGGTGTACGGCGTTAGGGTGAGGGAGTGATACGGCCTGATGCGAAGACCACGACGGTCCGGTCTGTAAGAGCCGGGGACGTTTGGTCTCAGGCGGCCCAGGTTCCATGCTTGGGGTGTTATATGGGTAGAGTCATAGGCGGCGGGTAGACGCAAGCACAGGTCAGGCAAAAAAAGGAACAACGGGGAATGTAGTCATGAGAAAGGCGATCAGGAAGGAGACCAAAAGGCCCCGAGGGCAGTATGGAGCAATCGGCTCGTCGAACGCCAAGGCCCAAGCTCAGACTGCGCGCTGGTCAGTTGGGGTGTGGAGGAGGGAACTCTGATGATGTCGCAGCTCTTATTGGTGTAAGTATGATGACATTAAGGGTCGGTGTAATCGAGTAAGGGACAGGCTGCGAGCTCGTCAGTTCTCGAACAAGGCGCGTGGAGGCGGTCCCGGGTCCCTGGGTGAAGCTTTACGGTCCGGAGGAGCCCAAATCCAAAGATCAGCAGTTGGGCAGAGACGGAGCTACTACTACTACTATTGTACAGTACAGATTCCCGTCGAGGAGATTTCCAAGGATTTCTCGAGGGGCGTAAGGCAAAAAAAGGAACGACGTCGTCAAAAAGAACCTTAGGAGACGACGAGGTTTTGGTGGATTGTCAAACAAGGAAAACCGCGAGAGACAGCCAAAGTGGGTAAAGAGGGTCATCAGCAACAGCTCAGGTTATTTCGGCGTCGAAAAGGCATTTTCCATGGGTAAGAAGCCCTGCAAAGCTGGGGTGAGTATGTACACGCAGGATTAATACTGTACGTAGCATGTACTATGGCATATGTACCGCGTAAGGTAGTCGAACCCTTGCCTGCATATAGTAATGAGCGCGCGTATCAACTAGGGTGAGCTACCTACGTAAGGCCTAGTCGGTAGAGCAGGGGTTCTGGTGGTTTTGGTGGTTTTGGTGGATAATGGAGGACGAGCAGACGATCGATAAGTACAGTACTATGCCAGTACTATGCCAGTACTATGTTTATTGCACCTTTATTACACCTCTTGGCAGCCGAATGTAGTAGACCGTCAGGTAGGTAGCGTATGTGCGCAGTATGTACATAGGTAGGTAGCTATTGAAGGTACAGCTAGCAATGTAGGTAGCAATGGAGGTAGCAACGATTAGGTACGGTGACGGAGTATGCTGACATGTCCACCGCGCAGCGCAGGCTGGTGATTGTTGCTGTGGTTTTCGTTTCTATCGAGTGCTGGGTACGGCGAAGAAGCGTCCGTGTTACTCAGAACCGAGGATATAACACCTCAGACCCATACATACACTATATGTTGGGTATTATGTGTGTATATATGTAGGTATGTATGTAGGTATGTATGTAGGTATGCAGGTATGTACATATGTATGTACGTACGTAGTGTACATAGAGGTAGTGTATGTATGTTTGTATGTATGCTGCTGGAGAACGACAGCGGACTATTATGTACGTGCGCATACATAAGTACCCAAGGTAGGTAGGTAGGTATTAAATAGTTTACCTGTTAGTCAGTCCTTCAGTCAGTTAAGCATGTAGGTAGTAATAATATTAATAGCAGAGCGGTGAGGGTGAAGACCGACATAATTACCTATGTATATATGTATGTATGTATGTAATAATAGCGAACTTGTTGCGATGGCCTCTTTTTTGGGGCCCGCCAAGCAGGCGCTTTTCTGTGGGGGACTTCCCAAACCAGGTTCTAATTGACGAATGGCAGTTAGCTCTAGTTGCGCTTTTCAGCGAACCCAACTAAATATAAGCTAATATGGGTAGCGTCGTGAGTTCGGAATTTAGCAACTCAGCTACTTCATAAGTGTAAAGCTATACGAAGTATAGAGCTAAGAGAGAGGTATGACGAGCTACGAATTTGAACTCGTGCTATAAAACAAGCATGGTATATTATGAATATTATAACAGCGCATAAGAGGAGCAGTCCAATCATAGCGACGAGCCAACGTGTGCCTTATCTGGATGAAGGAGGGGAGCTCTATCGGTATCTGTATCTGTATCTGTATCTGCGGCGTGAGGGATGAGAAAGATATGCGAAAATGATCGGAAGCCAACCTAGAGCATGTTAGATGGCACGTTAGGTAGGTAGATTGTAGACGGTCCCGTTTGTGTTACTACAGGCTTAACATACAGGTTTACAAGTGCTACTACTCTAACTACAGTGTGTTACCATAGTACGTAGTGCCTTACATTTACTTACATAGGTAGGTACCTAACACACCTACCTAACATCAATTACATACACACCTCGTACCTACTCTAAGTACAGACGGTACATACAGATAGGTAGATTGAAGGTAACGAGGAAAGTACTCGCATAATACACACAAAATTGTTTTTTTGGCAAGTGGCGCCTCTGCTTGGCGTCATGTCTCTGCTCGGCCTGTCTCGCCTTACTTCGTAGCGTGGTCCAGATAAGTTAGAGTCAGTGGAGCACGCTCTAGAGCCCGACCGACAACGGTCTCGTTACTTTCGAGAGGTACCCGTCCCTCCAGCATGTTTAGTCGAGGTACATTGCCTACATAGTGCCTATCAAAGCACATGCCGGAGAGAACGTGGCTGCCGGCAACATATGTAACCTATTTATATGTACCAAACAGTGTCTGGAAAGTAACTGCACAGTGTAGAGCGATAGCACTTATATGGTTGAAATATACAATTCATTATTTTTATACGTATGTGTGTGCATTGTTTAGAATACATATTTGTATCTAGTTACCTAACTAGTCACTATCAGGTATGTTATGTAAGTACCTAAGGATCAAAACTCTCAGACCTTCAACGGGAAAGCCACATGAGTTCTGTTTTATTCACATATGGTCAAGCATGGATTAGCTTGCTTTCTTCCCTGATCAGGTGTGAGTGCAACAGGGATATCCCTTACAATTTCACACGCGTCTAAGCACGTCTCTGCGTCTGCGCCTGCGTCTGCATCTTTGCGAAGGCGGGGCAATCTTAGCAGGTGAACAACTTTCCGCTCGCCGCCATGTTTGACGATAAGACGGATAGGGTCCCCTCCAAATCTCTACGTTACCTAGTAAGTTACCTAACCTAGTAAGTTACCTAGTAAAACACACCCCTAGACAGATATATGGAAAACAAGGCTTCGTCACTTGAACGAAGAGAATGGCTACGAATGGCTACGAATGGCCAATGAGGTTATTCCAGACTCTCTATTCGACCGCCGTTAGTGGGATTAGATTGTCTACCTACCTACTACTACATACCTACCTAAAGGTTGCTATGTCAAACGCGACGCTTGATACATTGATTTTGACATTGGTCGGATCCTACCACATCTGCAGCTTTCTTTTGACAGGACCACATCTGGGCCAGACTTTTCCCTCCTCAAGTCTGATTATTACATTACATTGGCTCAATAGCCCTGGAAGCGGCTGATCGGTACCTGCAAGTACAGACCTGCATGTCCCTGAGTTTGGTTATGTACGGTACCTAGTGCTTGGGTTGCGGGTATGCAATGTGTGAGCGGCACTTCTTTTCTGTCTCTGCTTTATGGATACATTAGATATCATCTTCACCTCGTTCGAGTTGCATCAGTTGTTTGCTCTTAGCTCTCGGGGATCGACTGCGCTAACAAGGGGCTTAGCCAACTACGTGCGTACAGCTTCCAACTCTTGTTGGCTACGATATGTATAAGAGGGTCGATATATGACCACTATTGAATAATCAGAGACATAAATTACGGCCTGTCACGAGGTTTTAATTTCCCTCGTTAAGCAACGTGAAACTATTCTTTAATGTATGTATTAAGGTAGTAATCTCTGTTTAACATATGTAAGTGTGTGGATAACTGCAATCAAGATCAAACATACTACCCATTTTCGAGCCATGAGAGATAACGGCTGTAATTATTGCCCTCGTTCCCTTTCGACAATTTTAATTGGAACTACTTAGGTTAGGTAGGTTGGTTGGTAGTCTACATATTGACATGAACGTTGACCGCTAGAATTTTTATAAAGCATTGTACATTTTTATTAGCGCTTCTATTTCCTAAGCCTTAGGTAACTAACTACTTGCTAGTTAAGCCTTATACTGACGTACTTCAAAACAAACTGGCGGTCTGCTAGTGACAGTATTACAAAATATACGAGTTAACCGTAACGTCTTCGTAAGATCGAGGGCAATTGCCGAGTTGATAAGAGGAGTAGGGACGGGATCTCTAAATAGTTGCAAGCTCCCAAGCGTAATGGGGATGGTAGCTTAATGAGATGATAGGTAGGCATGTCTAGCAGTTAGAATCAATGTCGTCGATGGAACAAGCACCCCTCCTCCCACTTCCACCAATCCCGAGAAATAACGATTCTGATACCACGCCGCAGTCGTACGCATTGAACTTCCCGTCTCCGTATGTACATATCGGACCCCAATCCAACATTAAAAACCGGATCATTACAGCGACCTGGCTTAGCTAGTAGTGAAGAGGCCTACGTAGATCGCTGTTA